TAGTCCCGCATCTTCATAGAATCAAGGGGGGGCCGGAAGGAGATCTTCTAATCCAACTCACTGCCCAAGACAGGAGTAGTCTTTATACCATCCCAGGTAAATGGTTACCCAATCTTTTCTTGCAAACCTCCAGCAATGGAGCATTCACAACTCGGGTCTTCGCTGTTAGACCATCCTGGTTCTTGGATGAGAAAGTGGAAATTCATCCTGGGTGCCTCTGAGGACTTATTTGATAGAAGATGGTCCTGAATCTAGGTTTTAAGAACTTTGTAATCTATTCTAAGAACCTCTAAGGCAGTGATGGAGCCGAGGTGAAGCCGAGGTGGCGCAGTGGTTAGAGTGCAGCACTGCAGGCTACTTCAGATGACTGCAGTTTGGCTGTTCAAATCTCACCGGCTCAAGGTTGACTCAGCCTTCCATCCTTCCGAGGTGGGTAAAATGAGGACCCAGATTGTTGGGGGGCGATATGCTGACTCTGTAAACCACTTAGAGAGGGCTGAAAGCCCTATGAAGTGGTATATAAGTCTAACTGCTATTGCTATTGCTAGATACACAGTTCCGGCTCGTGGCCCATTAAAACCAGCTGCAGAACTTCCCTGGCTTGTATGTGATCTGCAACTCATTAAAGCAGCTGCATCCCTAAGAGGAAATCTGATCCGAAAGGACATGAAGATTGAGGCAGCCTCACCTGTCGAAGTTCCGAAGAAGCGGGAAGAAAAAATGGCCAGCAACTGGAGCAAACTGGTTAGGAGTGCCCATCTGTTCTGCTTGGGACCGGCCCTATATCAGACAAAGAATAAGGATTGGATAAGAGGCGAGAAGAGACACTTCGGCAATAGGATATCTATCTATCTATCTATCTATCTATCTATCTATCTATCTATCTATCTATCTATCTATCTATCTATCTATCTATCTATCTGGTTTTTTTTATTTGTGCTGATAAATAAATAAAGGGAGACTAGTATAGATCTATTTCAAGCTATTTAGCTCTCATCAGCTATATATATATAGCTTTAACCTCAGCAATCTCTTAAGCATCCCACAACCGCCCAGGGTGAATGAGTTATGCTGGTACACACACATGCACATCCATTTATATATATATATATATATGTTTTTTATTTGTGCTGATAAATATAAATAAATGGATGTGCATGTGTGTGTACCAGCATAACTCATTCACCCTGGGCGGTTGTGGGATGCTTAAGAGATTGCTGAGGTTAAAGGTTAAACTCAGTGGATTTTCCTGGCTCACCTTTGCAAACCTTCGGGTTTTGCTTCGGATCCTTTCATCCACCACTTTCTTCCAGTCTGGAGAAGAAGAGCGAGGAGAGATGATTTGGATACTGGGGGTGCTGGCATTTGGTTTTGAGGGAGATGAAGATGGCCGAGACAATTCCTGAGCAGACATGGCCAACACCTGATGGAGAAACCAGAAACCGTATGAAGTGGAAAGATCGCCACAACAAGCATCCTAAAGCTGTCAGGGTTGAATTGAACTGAATTAAACCATCCCTGGCAGGTAACTATCAGCCTCTCCAAAAATTGAGAATTCACCACCCCCATAGGTGGACCATTCCTTTGTTGTACAGATCTTCCCAGTAGAAACTTTAATAAAGGTAAAGGTTCCCCTCGCACATGCATGCTAGTCATTCCCGACTCTAGGGGGCAGTGCTTATCTGCGTTTCAAAGCCGAAGAGCCAGCGCTGTCCGAAGACATCTCCGTGGTCAAGTGGCTGGCATGACTCAATGCGAAAGGTGCACGGAACGCTGTTCCCTTCCCACCAAAGGTGGTTCCTATTTTTCTACTTGCGTTTTTTACATGCTTTTGAACTGCTAGGTTGGCAGAAGCTGGGACAAGTCACGGGAGCTCACTCCATTACGCAGTGCTGGGGATTCAAACCGCTGAACTGCCAACCTTTCTGATCGACAAGCTCAGCATCTTAGCCCCTGAGCCACCAATTTAAAGTAACTGCAACTTAAATAGTTTCTGAAAATAAGAGTCACCTACATCCAGGATGTCCATCCGTTGACACAGACTGTAATTTAGGGAGTAAAATTCTGAAGTTAGGTATTTGGCCACCTGGAAAACAAGGAGACAAAGCATTTCTTCAGATGTTTTTCATGACTTCTGTGTTTTTCAATTCTCCCTTTATTTATTTTCATGAGTGTTGTGGCCTGCCAACGAAGCTGGCAGCAGATTCGCACAGTGAGGAGGTTGGGGAGGAACATGGGCCAGTCCTGGAGTCTGGGGAAGGCTCCGATGAGGGCTCTGCGTCGGAGGCAGAGAGGGGGTCAGGGCCGTCTGACAATTATCAGCTGCCTTCAGTCAGACATCAGTGAGGCAGACAAACAGCTGGAGCCTGTTCCCAGTGTGCGCATGCGCAGAGTTGCCAGATGAAGGGAACAGTTAAAGAACAGGAGTTCGAACCACCAAACTGTCCACCTTTCTGATCGACAAGCTCAGCGTCTTATCCACTGAGCCCTTATTAGAAACTTGGGCTCGACTTGGGAGTAAGGCACAGGTGGATAGAAAATGGCTCCTCTCAGAGGAAATAAAAGAGGAGTGGGCTTTTGCAGGAAACAATTTGGTTGTTTGGTTGTTACATTTGTTTCAGGAGTGTGAAGATCTGTCTGTGAATCTCAGAGACTCTGTGCCCAGTCTTTCCTTGCACAGCACCTCATTTGGAAAACATTTACATGGCAGCTTTCCAAGATAGATAAGGTCTGTGGTCATAAATACACCTTTGAAAGACTGTTTGCCAGGCCTTTGCTGACGGTGAAGGAGAGGAATCCACATTTATTTAATAAAAGGGGTTTTGTCGGGACCTGGACTCTGTCTCCTGCTTTTAGGGGGAGCCTAGGTCATAACAATAAGCGACAAAGTAGGTACAAAAGACAGGGCAAAGAACTCCAGTAGCAACCGTAAAGATCCTTTATGTCTTAGATCTTCCTTGCTCCTTCCTAGAAAGACTCATGAGCTCTGCCCTTCTAGCACTGACTTTCTACTGCTCTGGTGTATAGGAAGAGGAACCTTCTACCCCTCCAGATGTTGAACTGACCTTCCTTGTGTGAAGTAAGCTAGCTGAGTTTTCCACAACCCCCATGGAAAGCCAAGAATTCTCCACCCTTTCTCCCAGCTCCTTATCTAACCTCACTGCAAGGTTGCAAATCCTTTCACCCAAACGGTCAACCTAAGGACTTACTCGGACGGGGTCTGCGACGGTAACCGCCACCAAAGCACCTTGCCGAAGCCCCGCAAAGCTTTCAATGTAGCTCCTCTCTTCCAAGTGGAGCAAGACTTTTGCCAGTTCCACGCTCATCTGTGCAAAAGGAACAGAATCCTGAATTTACCATGGAAGTCACCCTACACGTTCAGTTTAATTCAGGATAAATTCATAACCCTGAATTGGCGGTAGCCATTGTGGGAGAACCTCTGGCACCTCATTTTTCGGTCCGTTTTCGGGCTGTTTCCCAGGCCGTTTGGGGTGCATTTTCAGGCTGTTTTGTGTGCCGTTTTCAGGCCGAAAATGGCCTGCAAATGCCCCCTCCCCCAAAAGGCCAAAAACAGGCATCCGAACTGTGATGCAAAGAGGTGTGAATTGCATTTACCTCTTGAGCAGTAGCTGTGTCCCTTCGGATCAAAGTTTCCAGGACGCCCAAAGCGGCTTCGTATTTTTCAACATCTTCCGGTCCCGTCAGGACTGAAGAAACAGAAAAAGGCCATGTGAAAAACGCAGAGGAGGCTACGAGGACAATTGGCTGTGTCAAATTCCAGACTAATAGCAATAGAAAGAGCACTTAAGACTTATATACCGCTTTCCAGCCGTCTATAAGCGATTTACAGAGTAAACGTATTGCCCCCAACAATCTGGGTCCTCATTTTACCCACCTCGGAAGGATGGAAGGCTGAGTCAACCTTGAGCCTGGTGAGATTCGAACTGCTGAATTGCAGTCAGCCGGCAATCAGCAGAAACTAGCCTGCAGTACTGCATTCTGACCACTGCGCCACTGCGGCGGCTCACAACTAAGAAAAGGAATGGCTTATTTCTCAGAAGGAACTTCCTACTGTCCTTACAGGATGGTTGGAACACAAGAGTTTGCCCTCCGGCTTTCAATTTAAGCACCATCAAAAAAGGATTAGCAAAGAGAACGTAGAAAGGGTCTTTTGTTTGTAATTGCCAAGGACTTATGATGACCAATTACACTGCCAAATGGAACCAGGTAGTTTCCAATATAGCATATTGCCACCTGCACGCACCCCGTTTTCAGGCTCCACACGTCCTGTTTTTGGCCTCTGTGCGCACCATTTTCCACCCATTCCGATCCCCGCCACCTGGGATGGGTGGAAAATGGCGCATGCAGAGGTCAAAAACGGGAGCCTGAAAACGGGGTGCGCGCAGGTGGCAATACGCTATGGCAATCCCTGCAGCATAAAACAGCTGATTGTCAGGAGGCCGATCCAACTGACAATCAGCTGTTTGTGCTAATCAAGCTCTGCTGAAGCTGAAACCGAAACAGGCTGTTTGCTGTTTGCTCCAAGGAGGCAAATAGCTGGGAGGCAGATTTTTTTTTCTTGTTTTCCTCCCCAAAAGCTTGGTGCGTCTTATACTTCAGAGCGTCTTAAACTCCGAAAAATACGGTACTTTATCCAGGGGATGACAAACCCAGCAAGTTGTAAATCTGAGCCCTGTGACACAGAGAGATCAACAATTCTCATCAGCCAGACAAAAAGAATCCCAAGGACCCTTCCCCCCCCCAAACTTCTGTTTCTTTCTTCTTCTCTTACTTTCAAAACAGTCCCTGATATAGGTGGGAGCTCTGGTTTTCTTCAGCTCTTTATCCTGCGACATGTCATAAGGGACCAGGTCGTCATCGCTGCAAAAGGAATCCGGGAAAAGAAGATTCGTCACAGTGTCTCAATTCATACACACGGCCAGCAACTGTTTTGTCCCTGACTTACGACCACGGTGGAGCCCAACGTCTCTGTGGCTAAACGAGACATTTATTGAGTTTCTGCCCCATTTTACGAACTTTCTTGCCACCGTTGTTAAGTGAATCCTTGCAGTTATTAAGTTAGGAACACGGTCGTTAAGCATATCTGGATTCTCTGTGGATTTGGATTGTCAGAAGATCGCAAAAGGGGATCACGTGAACTGACATTGCAACCGTCATGAATGTGTCTGAATTTTGAATACATGACGATGGGGATGCTTCAACGGTCGTAAGTGTGAAAAACGCTCATTTATTCAGTGCCGTTGTAACTTTGAACAGTCACTAAATGAACTGTTGTAAATCAAGGACTACCTGTAGGGGAAGCCTGTTGTTTCTTAACAATAGAGGTAGTGCTTGACTTACAACCATTTGTTTAGTGAGTGTTTGAAGCTACACCAAGACTGAAAAATAAATTGATTGATGGTCAGTTTTCATACAACTGTTGTGCCATCTCCATGGTCAGAGGAACAAAATTCAGGCACTTGGCAACTGGCGTGACTTTACGACAGTTGCATTGTCCTGAGGTTGTCTGATCACCAGTTGTGACCTTCCTAGCTGGCCTCCAACTGTTCTGACCGAGGCTTCCCAAGAGCATGAAGCAAACTCCTGGTCCCGACAAAATCCCCTTTTATTAATTGACTGTGAATTCTGCTTATTCACATCCAGCAAAGTCTTTCAAGGGAGGATTNAAATAAAAATTTCTAAAAAAAAAAAAAAAGGATGTAGAGGCCACCATGCATCACATCTTAAAACAGCTCCAGTTCTGCCCCGAGACAGCTGTTGGTAGGTTTGGGAGGGAGGAGCAGCTGTGTGTGTGTGTGTGTGTGTGTGTGTGTGTATGTGTGTGTGCGTGCAGCCTGGCATCTTTGTTTCTGACCCGCTTGCAAAGTGGAAATCAGGATATGAGACTAGCAAAGTCCCCAAAAGGTTGAGGATATCCTGTGCGCATAAGTTGAGCGCTCGACTCCAGCCACCAGGTCAGGCTGGGTACATGACTCACTCCCACAGGCCCCGCTCTCTTGCTAAAGCGGCAGGAGACTTCGAGAACTGGGGCTAAGGGCGCACTAAAGGCCATCGTCTACAAGTGCCCCAAATTATGCCAAAGCGCTAAACAAATTTTTTTTTTTCAGTGCTAGGGACCATCTTGGATATCAACCGAAGGGCAAATTCGCTCTGCTCTTTATTTTCTGCCTCCTCTGAAGTTGGCCCAACTGTGGCCATTTTCTTTTGGTAGCTTTTCTCTAGGGCAAGGGTGTCAAACTCGACTTCACTGAAGGCTGCATCAGGACCGTGTTTGACCTCGGGGGCAAACACAGTCTGGGGTCCACAGTGGTGCGGCCAGGGTGGGCATGGCCAGCTCAACGTCATATTGGGGGTGCCTGTGGTGGCCCGCAAAAATGGGTTCCCGAGCTCCGTTTTTGGCGGCGACGGCCTCCTGCAGCCCTCCACCAGCAAAAACAGAGCTCGGGAGGGCTGTGTGCAGCCCTCCCGAGCTCCATTTTCACTGGCAGAGGCGCCACGGGCTGGTCCTTTCCTGTTTCCAAGGCAGCCCCGCAGGCTAGATCTAAGCACCCCACCTGCCAGATCCGGTCCCCAGGCCTTGAGTTTGACACCCCTGCTCTAGAGTTTTCTCCCTGCTTCAGGGCTGACACAGTATGTAGCAAAGGGGCATGGAAGGGCCGTGTAGAGATAGCTGGGGTGCGGTAGCCAAAATAAAATTCTTTCGCCTGGGGAAGATGAAATAATAAGAAAGGTTATGGACTGTGCCGAAATGGACAAACTAACTAAAGAAATCCAGGGAAAAGAAGAATCAGAATTCTACCAGATATGGGATAAATGGTATAGGTGGATGGAGGAAAGAAACAAGAATCAATGAAGGAATATAACAAAACTCAAAAAATAATAGTTATGAGTAAAATAAGAGGGTTAAGAATGGTGAAATCCAAATGAAATACAACAGAAGGGGAAATAGTATAAGGTGAGCGGTATCGATTGATGATTGCTATTATAAATTCCTGTTCGTACTGTATTGTGTAAATGTGTGTACGTCTAGGTTTTGTGTGTGTGAATTTTACATGTTAATAAAATAAATAAATAAATAAAAATTCTTTCGCCTGGGAATCAAGGACGTTGGTGCAGGTGTTCAAGAGGTGGAGACAGAGGTCACCTAGCAACTGGATTATATGCTGATTGGACCATGTGATTGGTGACTCGGGGGGGGGGGGGAATGACAAAGTTTAACTTTTAATTGGGTGTAAACCCGGTGGGAACTTAGCACCAGTTTTTCACCAAGAATGTGCCAATTTGATATGTCCCAATAAAACTGTTCTTTGAGGAATTTGCCTGTCTCGGAGGGGATGTGTCACTCGGAAGCTTGACATCAGCTTCTCCTGTTAGCCTGAAAGCTCCTGTGAAAAATTTAGTTATTTTTTACACACGTCAGCCGGGGTTGAACAATTGGAACACTGTTCTAACATGCTGATGAGCAAAAATGTCCCTCTTCCATCTTGAATATCTTACAGAATAGAGTTGGAAGGGACCTCTGAAGTCTTGTAGTCCAAGGGTCCACAACCCCCAGGCTGGTGACCAGCACCGGTCCTTAGCCCCCCCCACCCCCAGGAACTGGGCCATGGAAGTGAGTGAGGTCCCATCCAGGCCTCAGAAAAAAATGCTCTTAACAGGATCCCTGCCACCCGTAAGACTGGGGGCCGTTGTTCTAGTCCAGCCCCCTATCCACGCAGGCGTCCAGGTTCCAAGACACAGTCCCAATGCAATCAAACCTCTGAGGCTTAGGTGTCCCTCAAAGTACACATTTATTAGCACACCGGGTGAAAAGCCGACTCTGAAGTTCCCGCAGTTTTCCCCGCCCAAATTAGAAGTCAGAGTTCTTTTCCCCCAGTCCACATGTCCAATCCAGCCATAGGCCCAACCCCAGTTGGTTCCAGTCCACGCCTCCCCAGCACCTTGTGAGAACGCCCTTGTTTCTCAGAAGAAATAATTTTATTTTGGCTACGAGTCCCCAGCTATCTCTACTCCCCCCGTCCTCCCGTTTCCCACAGCTCCAACCAGCCCTGCAGAAGATCCCAAAATGGCTTCAGGGTTGACAGCAGGAGACCCTATTTTTGAATTTTGCGCTCCCCATGAGACAAAACTGTTCCACCCACATCATCTAATGCCCCGTTTTGTCCCTGACTGGTCCGAATGCAACTCTTGCTCCTTTCAGCTCCGACGCAGGAAAGATATCGCTGACTCAGCGAGGACGGCCCAGAGGAGGAGGAAAGCCGCTTTCTCCACTGTGTCATGGGAAAGGAGGACTTTTGCTGGCCTCTTCCCTTTTAAGGGCACAGGAGATGGGCTCCCGAGGCAGGGATCAAAGGACCGGCTCTGTCAAACATTACTTCCTCTCCGTCCTTCCCCCCCCCCCCCCCCCGTGGGAAGCCGTCTTGCTTCCTGCTTATTCCTGGCATCTCACCCTTCAGAAGTGAGTGGGGGTCCAGGCCCCCTGCTTGGTGACCTTCTGGGCACACGGAAGATCCCATCATCCATTCCCTCCCAGTGTGGGATGTTTTCTCCTCCACTCTGGAATGCCGGGAGAAATCAGCCTGGCTGGATGTGTTTAACTTGCTCTCCCATTCTGAGAAAATGGGCTTCCGCACAGCATCAAACTGGCCCGCCCAAGATCGAACTTGTATTTATTGCAAAGGTAGCCTTAATTTGGAATTAAGATTGCTGGGGGAAAATATCCACAACCTCAGATATGCAGATGATGCCACTCTAAATGGCAGAAAGTGAAGAGGTACTAAAGAGCCGCACTTTGGCGAATCCCTAGCGCAGCGTAACGGAGTGAGCTCCCATTACTTGTCCCAGCTTTTGCCAACCCAGCAGCTCGAAAGCATGTAAAAAATGCAAGTAGAAAAATAGGGACCACCTTTGGTGGGAAGGTAACAGCGTGCCATGCGCCTTTGACATTTAATCATGCCAGCCACATGACCACGGAGACATCTTCGGACAGCACTGGCTCTTGGCTTTGACATAGAGATGAGCACTGCCCCTAGAGTCAGGAACGACTAGCACATATGTGCGAGGGGAACATACATTGTTTAAGAAAAAGGTTAGCTAAGATACTTTTAAGAAGTGTATTCAAACTCCAGTTTCTCATCCTTGGTTACGGCTGCATTTGCACACACAAATGCTTTGGTTGGGCTTAGCAATGCTTCTGGCCACAATGACGTCTTCCCCTAGCAGTGGTGTCAGGTTGGCGCTGAAAATGACGTGTGCCTATCTAAAGCTTCAACGAACACATCAAAAACCTCCTAGCACTCCCCTTCCCAATGGCCCGTTTTCCCCAGCTTCTTCTCACCTGCCAGCCAGACTCGAGTCTCTAGAATTTCCTCCGTCAGGTCGTCCAGAAGGTACTCAGCAGGTACACTGAGGAGTATGGAGGAGACTGAAGACAAAAGGCCATGCCGCACGTATCTGCAGAAGAAAGAAATGCCCTGGTGAATGCAGGCAGGAAAGCAATAGCACTTAGACTTATATACCACTTTACAGTGCTTTACAGCCCTTGCTAAGCGGGTTACAGAATCAGCCTTTTGCCCCCAACAATCTGGGCCCTCAGTTTACCCACCTCGGAAGGATGGAAGGCTGAGTCAACCTTGAGCCGATCAGGATCGAACTGCTGGCAGTGGGAAGAGTTAGCCTGCAAGACTACATTCTAACCACTGCGCCACTAGCTTTGGGAGAGGAAAACAAGAAAAAAAATCTGCCTCTGCCTCGAGCTATTTGCCTCCTTGCAGTAAACAGCCCGTTTCAGTTTCAGCTTCAGCACAGCCTGATTAGCACAAGCAGCTGATTGTCGGTTGGATGGGCCTCCCAACGATCAG